ACCATCCTCAAGCGCAGGTATGTGCTCTGTCCTTGTTTAGCGGTATCTTGGTAAGAAACAGCTGTTTAGCGTTTGACAACAGATCCTAACCTCTGTTCTTATGTCTTGTGTTAAGCCAAATCGATTGGAAATAGCACAAATTGCTTCATTTCAGCGTAAAATTGGGATTGAAGCAATTATTTTTATAAAGTACATTGATTTAGAACGATTTCGATCAAAATTGGATTGAAAGTACCTCAAATTGCTTTATTTTGGCGGAAAACTGTTACTTAAGCATTTTTTTGTTAARATATTTTGCTTTAGGATGATTTTTGGCTTAAAATTGGGTCAAATCGATTGAAAATTAAACAAATTGCTTCATTTYGGAATTTAAGCAGTTATTATTTTAATATACATTAATTGAGAATGATTCGAGGATTACAATTTAGCAAAATTGGAATGGAAGTAGCTTAAACTGCTTTATTTRGAAAAAATCTGTCATTTGTGTATTTATTTTGTTGAAAAACTTTGAATAAGGTTGATTTTCGGCTTAAAATTGAGCCAAATCGATTGAAAATAGCAAAAATTGCTTCATTTTGGCCTAAAATTGGATTTTAAAGCACTTATTTTTATAAAATACTTTGATTTAGAATGAGTTCTGTATTAAAATCCATCAAAATTGAATTAAATCGTAAAGACAAGTGACAATCAATATGACCACCCAACTTCAACACATCAACAGCGACAAACTCCCTAGATTTTAAATTTAGCGCTTTGTACACACATACCGTGACGTCATACTGCTCAACATACCACTAACATACCGCGTATCAAGCGGTATCAAGTAGTAAGAACAAATAGAAAATCCCTTTAATTTCGTTCAATTCGGCGCATGACGTCATGTGCGAAGCAACTATACTTCGCGCGGCGAAGAGACGGAGTGATCACTCGGCGTTCACGTGATAGAAAGTTTGATTCACACGATACAACGTAAAAAGTCAGATTTGGCGCGCTTTTCGAAATACACCCACTGTGCTAATAACAAAGCACAACCCTGATGTGATAATCACTGCTTATTATTTTTAGCTTATGTTAAGGAGATCATTTGTGGTTAGCCAATAACTTTTTGAGGATGTTTGCACTCATTTTACTTAAAACTTTCGATATGAAAAAAACACGTTAATTTATCTTCATATTGTTGCGGACAYAGAATTTTGGACATCAAATTTATGTCATTTCAAAAAATGTGAATGTAAGCCGCGTTTTATTGTCATGATTGAATTTAAAACTAAAGTTTGAAAGTTTTAGTTGAAATTTATTTTTGGTGTCGATTTTCCGAAACAATAATGCCAGCAAATACGTGTTCAATAAATTATTATGAAGAGAGTTTAATAATTTTTTTTTKGTACTAAATTGTGTAGTTTGTCAAATTTCTAATGATTTTRCAATTTTATATTTGTGTATTTCACTCTCGTTTGAAATTRGCTTTTCAGGTTGAAATAATAAAGAGAATTTTATAAAATATATTTTTATTATTCAGACTGATCTGAGTCAGAATCTGTAGTTGACTCTGACTCATTTCCCAAATTTATTATTAATGGTTCAACCTGGGTTTCCATAATAACATCCAACTGCCACATCTTCTTCTCTACACCATCCACATGACGAATGCAGTCCCTCCATTTTTCAGTCGTCACGTTGTTTAGTGCCTCCATGAACAAYTCTTTGACATGGTTCAACTTAAAAGTTGTATTTTTCCTTGCCAYCTCACCTTTGACCTGACTCCAAACCAATTCAATTGGGTTTAGTTCACAATGGTAAGGTGGCAATCTCAAAACGATTCTATTTGAATTTCTGGCCATTTGATCAACAAAAGCGGTGTTGTTCGATAGATGTTTATTCGCCTTAACTAATTGTAGCAGTTCGGCTTTGACCATATTCTCTTCATACGCTATATTTTTTTGTGATAACCAGTTTTGAATATCTCTTTTTTTGGTTCCACTATTTGGAGTTTTTTCCACTTTGCGACTATGGTATGACGCGTTGTCCAACACAATAATACTGTTTTCTTCCAAACTTGGTAAAATATTTTGAAACCAATGTTCAAAAACCGTGGCATTCATTTCATCGTGATAATCACCACTCTTTTTTGATTCAAACATCAGAAGCCCATTTCCTACCCATCCCTCGTCTGAACCCATATGTAAAATTATTAAGCGGCTTCCTTTTCCTGACGGATTCCTTAATCCAGTTGACAAACCAGTAACAAAGGCTTGTCTTGGGTTTGTTACTGTTGTGTCACACCACACTTTGTTTACTGTGTGTCCTGCGTTAATCCAGGTTTCATCTAAGTAATAAATTTTTCTATTTGCCTCCTTGTATTTTTTGATTTCCCGCAAATATTTTCTTCTCCATGCTATTATTTMATTTTTTTCTTTTAGTATGCTATTTCTTGACCTTCCTTTGTATCTAAATAATAAAACAAACATTATTTAACATACCCATATAAATAATTTCTTTAACTTACCGAAAGTTTAGTTCTTTGAGCAATATTCTCAATGAAGTCTTTTTCAAATGTGGAAGATCTTCACGTTCTTGCAGAGCTTCATAAATTTTTTGTATTGTCGGTGGCTCATTTCTTAAGAAGAATGAATGTACTAATCTTCACAGGGCTGAGCCAAGCCGGTGTGCAATGACTGCAATGTATTGCATAAATTGGTTTTATTTTTTTCTTTTCAAACACATATTAAGAGGTTTTTTCTCAAAAACTTATTCAATTAATGGTAACACAATCATTTGTTTTATTTCACGAATGTTGTTCCTGGTAATGCGCGCCTAAATGCAGTCAAAGGAATTGCTGAATGGAGTCGACTAAATAAATATAAGTTTCTAATAAAAATTTGTTACACTAGCCAACAAGCGTTTTGTGACAGAAGAAAACAGTTATTTTTTGTCCAATTCTATGTGCTAGACACAAAAATGATAAAGAAAATTCCATAGCACGTCAGATTTTAAAGTTAGGCATTTTAAGATATCATATGTAAGTATGTTCTACAAAATCGCCGAAAAACGAAACACTTAAAATTCATTTTCTGGATTCTCATTTAATTTTTTTTCCCCCAAATTTGGGAGCCGTTAGTGACGAGCAAGGGGAAAGATTCCACCAGGATATATTGACGATGGAAAAGAGGTACCAAGATAGATGGGATCCAGCTATGATGGGGGATTACTGCTGGTTCCTGATAAGGGAAGTTAAAAAGAAAGTCAGCTTTTGCAAAAAACTCATCTACAGCAGATTTATATTAGAATCTTATACATCTTTCAACATTGTTCTTGTTTAGTGAATAAATTAATTTCTTTCGTCGTCTATTTATTTAATTTCTATTTTAAATGAACAATTTTTACGATAAAATTTGAGAAAACTATTTTCCTGTAACTTAAAATCTGTACGTGATAGAGAATTTTTCTTATCAAATTCGTAATTAGGGATGTTAATGCACCCTGATACACGTGTCAATAGATCAATCACGTTAAAAAAAAATTGTTGGGTAATGTTATTAGTTTGATATTTAAGTTAAGAGTTTATATTCTCTGAAAATGAAAATAAGTGTAGTGTTTTGGTATTTGAAGTAAATTCAGTTATTTAGTAAAACGTTGCAAAGTTCAACAACAAACTTAAACTTGTTTAAATCTTTTATAAAATGTAGTAACTTTTTTTTCAAATATTGTCGTTTCACCTATCCGGGGACACACTGTATTAAATAATTTAGTATCTGCATTTTTCAATATTTTTGTTGTTATTAGAGTCTTATTAACGTTCCACTTTTAGTTGGCTCTGATAAAAGGTCCTTTTCAAAATTAAAAATTGTCAAAAATTACTTAAGAACAACACTGTTTTAAAGTTTTCAAAATTGTAAAAGACAACTAGTAAGCAAAATGAATAAATTTACCAACCACAAAAATTAAATCATTTGTATAAGTTGTGCCAAAGCCATCGCCACTTCTGTCATTTTTCACAATATTTTTTCTGTATGAAAAAGTGGGGCTTGGCTTAAAATTTGTCAGTAGAGTTCAGCTGTAATACAGATTCTTTTTTTATACAAAAGTCAAATGTTTCTGAGATATTTCACCTCAAAAAACGCAGTTGCAAAGTTGTCAGTGATGTTAGCGATGGTTATGGCACTGGTATTATTTTATGTTTATTGGTATGTATTAAATGTTTTTATATTGTGTTTGTTATAATCGAAGAATTTTTATCAGTAGTCATTGTGATTTTACTCACTTTATCCACAAAAAAAAAAAACTATTTTCAACCAAAATTGAGTTAAGATTAAGATAAATTCATGCGTATTATAATAGCGAGGCACAGAAGAGTTGCTTCGCAAGTGACGTCACTGGGTGGGGGTATGCTGCGCGCTGGCATACTGTTGTAAGTGTATCGTGATTGTAACGTGTATAATGTGACGTCTGTGGTACTACTTTTTTCAACGTGCAATGAAGCACAGTTTCATCCGTAATACGAATGAGCAAAAAAATTGGTTAAACGCACTTTTATAAATAACGGGCATTACACTTTTTATAACGTTACTGAGAAGGTTTTTTCAAAAGTGGCAAATACTTTTTAACACACGTTTCTTCAACTTTAAAATAATTTTTTTTATAATGTGTTGTTTTAACGTTACAGAGACCCGTTACGATGGGTGATTTGTTGCTTTTATTTTGGATTGTTATTTATTTAACACTATTAAATAATTATTTTTTTTTTGAAAAGGTTGGAGAAAAATGACTGAAATCATGTTTTTAAATATTGTCAATTTATTTCTAGCATAAAAATTCAAAAAATAAATTAGCTAAATAAACATAAATTTTAAATTAAATAACCTAATTACCTATAATTTAATTAGACATTATCTAAATATAACATTATTTATTAATATTATTACAAATTGCTTAACAATTAAGCTAAATCATGAGTTTCCTGTAACAGAGAGTTTTAAATTTTAAAGGTAACTCTAACTTCAGGCGATTTCATTACGTGTTGTTTTTCTCGCAAATTGCGCTGATTTGCATGTTTCAGCCACTCCATTACCCCATTTTGGAAACTTCTGTTTGTCATTGTCTTATAATTAGACTTTAGTGCATCTAAAAATAGAATATTAGTTCTAAAAATACACGCTTTTTGAAGTATTACCTTTTATAATTAACATTGACTTTATAAACCAGACATTTTAATATTATTTTTTTGTCCTGTCCAACTAACAAAATGTGGCGACATAAATTGTAATGTAGTTTTGAAGACATCTGTTAATACAGTTTCTTTCATTATAGCCGCCTATATATGTCATTCTTTCCAGCTAAAAATTAAATTTTTGTTGTTAGATAGCAGTCGATTTAAAAGTGTCTTAGATACTTACAAAAACTTTAGTCACATCGTGATCCTTTTCAAGAGTGTCCTCAAAGAAAACCATTTCTCTTATGTTTTCCAGTGGCATTTTTGGAAGTGTCACTTGATTATCAGCCAAGCTATTTGCTTCAAGTTTTACCTCGATGTTATGCAATCTTACAGAAATAATTGCCAATTCATTTTTTATTTCTAAGAAGCACTCCTCCATTGTTTTTTTTTTTGGCAGGTACACAATTTTGATCTAAAATTTTTTATATTAATTACTAAATTTTTGGAAAAATAAGTTAAATAATATGTATAGTTTGTTTAGGAAGTTTTGAAAAAAAATCACAGTATTGTATATTACCTGTACCTGTACCTTGTTTTGACGAATTTTGATCATCATGTGACAAACTGTTGGCGATCTCTGGCAAATTGTTTTCCGTCAATAATTCAATAATAACTAAATTATAACACAAAATAAAGATTAATAATTATATAAATAAAGAAATAAGTTTGACAATACCTTGACGTAAATTTATAATCCCATCGTGGTCTGTATTTTGTGTAGAAGAGTCAACTGTTAATAAAAGAGCAATCTTTTAGAATAAGGGATAGTATATTGTTAAAGAAATTTATCAATTTCTTCAATTAATTCAGGCAAATCTCCGCCATTTGCTACTTTAAAAGTCTTAGTTTTTCTTTTATATTTTTTCCTTCTTATAATTTCATCTGCTTCTGAAGATGTTGATAATCCGCTGCTGGTAAAATACTTCTCTTTTTCTAAGGCTTCTTCGTAGGTGTCTAGTTATAATGATAATGATTATTAAATAGGAATAAGTATATCAAATTTATGTCTATTTACTAAATTGTTTTAAAACTGAAACTTCATGCAGCTGCCAGTCGGCACCTGGTTTAGAATTTCGAATAATTAAATTACGAACATTTTTTTTATTAACTGGCCAGTAACAATAAAAACTATCCTTCTCTTCGACAAGCCAAGACGATGGGACGGCAGAATAGAATTGGTCTTTAAAATGGGCTAAAGTGTACAACGCCTAAAAAACAAATGAAATTTTTGTATAAGTAAGAATTGTGTTCTTAATTACCTTAACAACGGCCAATTTTGAAATTACACATACACATTCAAAACAATTTTTGTCTAAATGTCTTATTATTAAAATTATTATTAAAATTTAATCGAAATTTATAATATCGGCTGACAAGTTGTCCAAACTTTTGGTAATGATTTTATGGGGAAAATATTAGTTTATCAAATATAATAATAAAATTATGTTGACATACTTGTTCGAGTTTAAAATAAGTCCATAATAATTTTAATTTTTTACTGTTGTTTACACCGATAGGTAAGAAAGATTATATTTTGTTAATTCTGATTATTAGGTTGTTTATAGTGTTATAATATGAGCCATGCATTACCAAACTGTCATTTAATTTACTTTTTAGGTTTTAATTTTAAACATTATAATACCATTGTTTAAAAATTTGTTTTGTTTATTATTATAACAATAAAACTCATTGTAATGTAATCTTTGTAACGTATACATTTGCCAATAACTTGAGTTACTTCTACTTTGTCAAGTACGTTATTCACATTCTTTGAAATACCATTATGAAATATTGTTGATTTGCACGGTAGATCAAAATATGGTTGAATCTTATCAAATGCATAACAGTGCAAAAAGATTTTGTCACTTATTTTTGAATTTCTTTGTACTAATAAAAACTAATCTTTGCCTTTTAAGTTGAGGAAATTTAACTGGCTCCTCTGCTTTACTATGCGTTCTGATTTGATCAACTCTATTAATTAATTGTTTGAGAGCTTTATTTGAGGTTTTTAAATGTAGCTTTATTTCATACATAGTGTTTTCAAATTTAAATGAACTAAAATTGTCCAAAACACCATTTTTTTTTACTTCGTTTGGTAAATGAATTAAATTATGAACGTTGTGATTCACGAATTCAGCACCATAAAGGTCACCAAAATTTTCTATAAAAAACTCTAATAATGTTTTAGCAAAATCATTATATTTGTGACACAAATTTTCATCGATTAAAATTCTTATAGCACAGTGAAGGCTTAAGAAATGATCAAATTCACGGGAACTTAAATTTCCCTTTAACACAATAGGACCAGTGTATAACAGAAACTGTCTTAATTCAGTTGCTTTCCATCGATTAATATCTAAAATTGATCGTGGAAGCCGAGCAAATTCTGTCGGTATGCAAGATCTAAATGTTGACAAATGTCCGCAAACTTTAGTTATATTTGAGTCATAATTCTTACAGCTCTATTTCCTTTTACCCAAAAAGTAATTAACCGTTTCATTACACCTAAACACACTAGATGCATTGTTACCTAATTTCGGCAACACACGTTGGTGCCAGCCGGCTCTCGGATTGGGCGTGGGGAGGGGAAGAAAATACCAAGAAAAACAAAAAAAAAAAAGAAAGAAAAAAACGTTATCTCGAAAACTAAGTTTAATAATAAAAAAAAATATAGTTTTAAAATCAAAATTAAATTAATGATGAAATTATTAAAAAAATTGAAAATCTAAAATGTCACCGCTGAACAGAAAACAAAGTTACTAGCAAAATGAATTAATTAGGGACTATCACGCTATATAATTTGTCTGCCGCAAACGCATAGATCTATGTTTTGGCCAGAGAAAAAATAAGAAGGAATAACGGCCGGTCTGTTCAGAGACGATTCACAAAGACCAGCTTATTAAATCTTACACAATGTACATTAAAGAATATTAAGACTACGGTCGTGAAGCGACACTAATCCAGGAAAACAACAAAACAACTAAAGATGAAGGAAGGAAAAAAACGGTAACTCGAACGTTCCGGCGTGTCCGCACTTACAGGTAAAATTTCCCTGACCGTATTGCTCCGGGTGCTCCGGGTGTTAACGAGCGACCTCCCAAGGGTTCCGGAAACGGCGGGGTAGACTGGGTCTTAGGTGGTGTTGGCGGAGGACAACGTCCGGGTGACAAAATATGGGAATTTTGGCTCCCTCGATAAGATTACCATACAATTGAAGCCTTTGATCCTGGGCGGCTTCAACGTGTGGACGATTTTCGTCTCTTAAGGCTCTAGGGTACCGAATGTACTGTTCAGATTTGGTGTACTGTAAGTTGCATACTCTATTTAGAGTTTTATTCTGTGGCAGCTGTCAATCATCCGACCTTCTCTACGGGGTGCCTGGTCCCTTTAGTCATAAAATGGAAATAATGTAAACAAACAGAATTTCACCATCGATGAGTTTCTCTTATTTCAGAGATTCAGATTCTAGCTCAGTAGAAAGAAAAGTTCATTTTTCTCTTGATTTTGGAATAATTTTTCTCTGTTTTTTAAATCCCATCACATTGGCGGTTTTAATTTTTTGACAATAATGTCACTTTGAAAAATGAGTTTTTGCGAGTTAAATAAAAAAATGTGTGGGAAAAACGTAATGTTGATAAATAGCAACTCAAAGAAACAGCTTTAAGATAAAAAACAAAGTCATTTTTAACAAAAACTATCATTATTTAATTAATAAATAAAAAAAAAATTATCTTTCATTTTACGCCAAAAATGGAAAGGAGAAACATTTTTTGCTTCACCTAAAACGAGTAAAATCCAAAATGGTTCATTATTAGTCATTATGCCCAGATAAACCAAGTGCTTATACCAACCCAGTTCCAGAAAATTTTGAAAAACAAGGTTTAGTGGTGGGTTTTGCTAAATTTTAGGGTGGTGGTAGGGACTTATATATTGAAAACGTACAATTTTATAACTTGTTTACTTTTTGACTCTGCAGTTTGCTAGTGGCTCTCTTCCACCGTAGTGCTTTGAAATTTTCTTATCACTTGTTGTTGAAAACGTTGTATTGAAATTATGGGTAATAATTCTAAACAATTTCTTTCAAAAAAAAAAAAAAGAAAAAGTCGAAAATGATGCATAATTATTGGAAAAAACAACGAAAAGGTTCTAAAACTGATCTTCCAAGTAAATCAAGTCTTGCAGAATGTAGTTTTCAGTCAATTGAATCGAATTCCGATGACGATGAGAAAGAAACTAGTCAAGAACAAAATTTTGTTCCAAGTGGTCGAAGGATTTATTTTTGGAATTAAAAAACATAAAACATAACATTTTTTCTTGTAGTTTTTTGAACATTAACATCATTCTAGAAACACATTTGTGGTTTAAAGGTGTTTTTAAACACAAATGTAGTATGTGTGCGGTAATAGGAACTTTTAGTACCGAAAAAGAAAATCACACAAATGAAGTAAATGAAGCAGTTGTTTGTGGCACAGTAGCAATAGGTGCTGGTTATCCCCGATCCGACATAAATATAAAAACATTCTTGCGCAACAATTACTTGAAATTTAGAACAGCAATTGTTTTAGCTATAAAATACAGAAAAAACGAAAGCTGTACAATTCATCAAAAAACAGAAAACTTGAAAAATGATATTTTAAATGGACCCGCACATATTTTTGGTGATCATTCAAATTGCGCTTCGTATTTCTGTAAAACAGTTGGTCAAATAACAAATGCAGTTGCATATTCTGATTTATTAAATAGTTCTTTGTTTGAGTTGTTCATGCGGGCATTAAAAAGAGTTGCAAATTTATCTTCAAGTCTTTTGTACGATGTCGATAATAATTTTACAGAAACCCAAGCTGCGAAATTAAATAAAAGAAAAATTCGTATTCAAAGTGTAGATTCCGATCATGGTGCGACTGATGACATAACAGATATGCCAATGGAAACATAAGAAAAAATAAAAAGTGAGTTTTTGAATGATTTGGCTTCTTGAGATATTTTAAAAATCCCTATTGAAACAATTGGTCAACATAATAATGAGCAGTGGGATAAAGAAAGAAATAACAGATTAACAGCTAGTAATTTTGGAAGAATTATAAATATGAAATGTAAAACCAATACAGCAATTACTGTAAAAAATATCTTATATAGTGTAGGTGTGTCTAAATTTCAAAAATTGCCTGAACCTCTACAATGGGGTATTGATAATAAAGAAAAAGCAAAGGAAAAGTTTGAGCAAATCACAGGTTTCAAGGTGGACTCATGCGGCTTTTTTGTTGATGAAGAAAAAACATTTTTAGGTGCAACACCAGATGGATTAGTCGGTTCAAATACTATTGTTGAAATTAAATGACCATTTATTTTAACTTTTTGTAATACACATAACACAATAACGATAAACATAATATGTGTCTCACCACAAATACCTAGAATCATTTTTAACACAAAATTAATTTGGCTAATTAGAGTTGTCCGTAAAGACCAACCCATATAATAATTCCTAAGCAAAAACCGTCCTCAGTGAAATTAATATAAATATTATATTTTAATTTTTTATTTTTTAGGTTTACGTATTGGGCTTAGTGCCTTTATATTAAACCTATCTATTATTTTAATTTATTTTTAAATAGACGAATAATTAAAAAAATTAAGTTTTGGAATGAACTAACAATTCTCTTCTTGAGGGGTGCAGATGCATATCTTTGCTTTGAACAAACGCAATAAAACGATCATGTTGTGGGTTTACACCCTGCGGTGCGGCCCGGCTGGTTGTAAATGTTATTCCAGGTACCTCGGCTCTTGAAAATAGATGTATTCAAAGTTGCCTACTTTCAATTTAATTTTTGCTTTATATCAAAGAATCAAGAACAGTTATCAAATTCGCATTATATCAGGGTACTGTATTTTTAAATTACCTATAAAATGTTTTTTTTTTAAATTCAATACGGTATACCGTTATCAAAAAATCTTAATAATTAATATTTTCACATTTTATTCAATAAAAAAATATCTATTAACTTGTTTAAAGCGGGAATATTATCCTGGTGTCCATTTACTTTTAAAGAAACACTACAAACATCAAGAAACTCTTCAAGTCTAAATTTGCGGCTAAAAACAAGGAAATAAATTTACGTGTAATAGGAATAGGCCAGCTTTCAGAAGGTCTGGAGCCTTAAGCTACGACGAGGTTGAGACAATCTCACTCACAAATCCAATACGACATACGATACCTAAATTTCGATACTTAAAAGTCGATGACCTGGAATTTTCACAATATAATCGGATTTAACCCGAACCTCAACTAGATGAGACAGCTCTTGTACTAGAGCCGAACCAAAAACCCTTAATCTAAGCAAGTGTGTGATACCAAACCAATTCCTAACTTAGTGAAAATTGTGTAATTTTTATGAAAATTTTCATCAGTGTAATCATTTAATTCATTATCGGTTCTTAAGGTGGCGACTGTTTCGGCAAATGTCATTCTGTTATTAATAAAATTTATTAATATTATTGTTATTATTATTTATTAATGAATTTTTTTCGTTTTCTCAAAATTTGTTTATGATACAAACTTTATTTGTTTCAAGTGTCATCCCGAGTATCGATTTTCTTCATTTTTGAGAAAATGAACCTTATTATAAGAGCATTTGACTGTAAAAAAAATGGTGGGGTTACATTGCCTTTTTAGGGCTGCAATGAATTTTTTTCGTTTTCTCAAAATTTGTTTATGATAATAACTTTATTTTTTTCAAGTGTCATCCCGTGTATCGATTTTTTTCATTTTTGCAGAAAATGAACCTTATTATAAGAGCATTTGACTGTAAAAAAAATGGTGTTGTTACATTGCCCTTTTAGGGCTGTAATGAATTTTTTCCGTTTTCTCAAAATTTGTTTACAATACAAACTTTATTT